TAAGTTTCTCTACTACACTAGCTATGACAATTCCCAGCTTCGGATCGTGGAATTGGTGCATTCAGAGACGTTTCACAGGCATCGTAGTCAGCAAAGCCAGCTAATATAGATATGTCTTTAATGGAAGTTGTTTGAATTATAACTCAACAAAGAGCGGCAGAACTCACCATCAGAAGCAGGACTCTTTATTTTCATTTGCCGTGGTGGCAACGGTGGTGGCTCTGTCTGTCCGCTCTGTAGATAGTTGCCGCTGCCAGGACCTGAGGCAACAGAAAGGCAGGTAGAGATTGCTGAGGTAGCGGCGGAACCATACGGACTAATAAGACTGGTTCCTGCACCACCAGACCCGCTGGCACTGATACCTTCGCCCGCTCCACTAACTAGGGTGGATGCGGAGGCCAAGCTTTGAGCATCTGCTGGAGTTGTAGAAGAGGCACAGCTTTCCTCACCGCCAACGCTACTATTACTAGGGGCAGTGGGAGTGATTCCACAGTTATCCGGTGCAACAACAAGATTGAGATCAAGCCTACTTGGACTATTATTTCTGCAGCTACTAGCATTTAGTAATTGGTACCGGCTTTCATCATCCTGTTTAGTCTGTTCGAGCTCACAGCAAATGGGTTCTGCCTCAGACCCAAAGTATCTACTGTATAGTCGTGTAGTATTCGGAGAGTGGACAGCATTAGCAGGTGCAGAAGCGGAGTCTGAGCTGACAGAACCGAAGGAGCCAGAAGCCTGAGCAGAACATTTGTAGCAGCGAGAGCTGCAACAATAACATGATGAGGTAATAGATGACGAAGACGAAGATGATGAAAAGCCTACAACAGGAAATGCGACAGAAGAAATTGAATTTGGACAGGTGATAGCGGATGCCAAGAAATTCAGACTATTTTCTATATCAACCTTCAATGACGTGCCATGGCCGGTGTCACCATAATGAGATGTAGAGAATGTGGCTAGATCACCAGATCTCTCGACAACTAGTTATATGAAGAGGGGAAAAGTTGATTATGAGAGGATGATATTGAGCTTAGCTATCAGCGTCACATCTAGCCATCAGACCGCAGAAATTTGAACCAACAATGAGTTTTTATATAAATCTTAATCAACTTCAAAAACATGATATTAATGTTAATCGATATGAACTATGCCTTTTTATTTTGAACGATTTTGATACATGAAGGATTATTACTAAGGGCCCTACAGAACTCCTTAAGGCTAAACTCGAGAAGTGCTTGTTAATAGGGAGTAAATAGAGAACTGGAAATATGGAAAAGGAATGCACTTCTTCACAATGTATATGGGCTGTTCAAAATGTATAAAAGGGCCAAATTATAGTTAAAGTAAATAATGAGGAGAGCATAAATGCATAGAATATTACGATCGATTCGTAATCACTAGAAACAAACAATTGAATACTGACTGTCTCCAAAATGGAATTGTTATGACATTATTTGACTATAAGGCAAGTGATAGAACTTGTGATATTGACTTTAAATTTAAATAGTGAAGCCGTTTACTAATATAATGAAGTATAATGGCATATCGTATTATATATATGTATGTATATATGAATAAAGTAATGTATAGAGATATTATCTTGATGATGAAATTGTAATATAACTAATGTGGCAATACACGTTTGTAAGGCAATATTATACCATCACCTAGAAATTAGGATGTGAAAGCTAGTGAGAAATAAATCACAGATAAGCAAGGAGTCAATCATGAGATGTACAAATATAGTAGCAAATATTCCGTTAAGCTATAAGATCGTATTCTGCCCCAGTTATAGAAAATAACGTAGCTCACGTAGAGCTTTATCCTAATAAATAGACACACATGACTTTTAAAAATTCGTTAAGATGTATGGACATCTATTTTCCGCTGGGCAACATAGCAAAGAGATTCTAGAATAACCACTAATTAATTTAAATAATAGAATCAGCCGACTAAATTTAGAATAAGACTAAAATATAGTAATATTTGACATCTTTTTGATGTTTTAGTTAGTGAAAAAGAAATTAAGTTTAGGATAAATGTGTGCAGGAGACTTATAAATACAGATTATATCCCATAGTTCTTATCTAATAATACTAATAACATTAAGCCGAATGGTATTGAGCATATTAGAAACAAAGCATCTAGGCAGGAAATTGAAAATGTGAATGAAATATTAACCATGAAAAACTTTTGTGCGCAGTTAATTTATAACTATCTCATAATATTAGGGAAGACAATTGATAGTAACAGTTAATTATGAAAAAAAAGGTTGAACAACCTACTCTGTCCCTGTTGCAATCATTTCAGCCTTTAAAAAGATAGGCAATTTACAGATAAAGTTAAGCAAACACGTTCTTAGGTTAGATATCCCTGCTTCCCCTCCGGATCAAGCTGTAATCACATGATAGTATTTCTGTGGAGGAGACCAGCCGACGCAAGCACAAACGGTTAATTAAACATAAAACTGATCATAAGACATGTGGATTGAGAAACGACGTGAGATAATGTAAAGACTAAGTATCTGCATGGTATGGGGACTTTTCAGTTAAGTATAATGAATAAATTAATAAAGCAGTAAAAATCATGGCTAACAAAGAACGAGGATTGAAAATTCAGCACGAACTAGCTCTGGATGTATGAAGGATTAAGGAGAGGGAGCAGGTTGAACCACCGAGTAAGATTATAAGGCTTGGTTAGCCCGGAGTTTGTGTAGGGCTGTAAAAGTCGCAAATTATTCATACGCACGGCATATACACAGAACGAGCAGAGCAATATATTAGAACACACGTAAACACAGTAGTATCGAACTAGATGCGAATGCTAAGATGAGATTAAAAATTAGGTTGAAAGAAGTAGGGTTCCAGCAGGCCACCAGGATTGATAGTAAATTTTGTATGAGAATTATTTTGAGCTCTGCGATATCAGTCGCATGAGAAAAAAGCTCAGTATTAAATTATTGGTGTTGTAGGATAGTGTGCAGAGGACAGCTTCTCCAAATAAGATGGAAAGACAACAAAGCTATCCTTATTCGGTTTCAAGAAAGGCTAATTCGCGAATCCAATTTACTTAAATATTCATAGGAAATGTAGGATCCAATGGTAATAAATATGCGTAATGTCAAGTCTTGTAAAGATGAGGCGATTACTAGTGGCTGAGAAAAGTGTAAACAAATGAGAAAATCAAGCCTACTCTTCAAGTCACAATTGAAAATAGCTGATCTAAAAAAACAGTGAAAAATGTAACACCTTAACACAAATGAGGCTCTAGATAGATGCGAAATAGAACTCTAACGAATGCACAAGTTAGGGAATCATAGCCACCTATGTATAGCCTTTATGAAAGTTAATGGATTTTATTCAGTCACGGGAGATAGTTTAAAATATAATATTTATTCAGACCTGGAAGAATTTGTGAGCGACAGTCCAAAGTATTATGAAAGTTATTTGCCGAGTCGATAATAGGAAGTGGCTAGTTAAATTTTTGTAAAATCAAATTTGTTCGCATCCATCATTTCGTGTCACTAAATATCACTTAGAGATTCGGAAGACATATTTTTAAAGGTAACACCAAGCTCACAAAGTCACAAAGATCATCTGGAATCATAGACTATAGACTTTGAATTGTCCATCAATAGGAATAATTAAGGTGGTAGCATAGCTCCTACACACCCCTTATCAGACAATGCTCTATATGTTCCAAGGCTCATAGATTCTTATACTAAAAAGAAACCCTACAACTTTATTCTATGCTTATAAAGTAAGTAACATATCAGCTAAAAGTTCGAAGAGCAGTCCTGAATTTTTTATATTTTGATATTGACTAGTTACGCAAAAGCCATAAATATCCAAGAAGTACCGATGGAAAACTTGCAAAGCGAAAACAAAGCTTCATTAATAGTGTCTTAAACTCAGATAAGCACGGGTTGACATAAAACTGGCATCAAAAGTGTGTAAAACAGAACAAAATGCCTCACTATTTGCAGGATCAGAAGGCGATAAAGGGGTCGAATTTTCAGATGAGGTGGAGCAAATTGGCTGAGGCTGAGGCCGATGATGACGATGCTGAGGTAGCTGTTGCTGCTGTTGGCGATTTTGATGTGAATGATTAACCGAGTTATGAATGAATGGCTGATGCTGAAGACTCGGACACTCTTCGCAGGGGTGGTTGTGAGCAAGTTGCTGCTGCTGTCTCGAAT